ATATATATATATATATATATATATATATATATATATATATATATATATATATAAATTTATGTGTATTTATATATTATATATATAAATACAAGTAAACAATAAACTATAAGTCGCACGTATAAGAATGTATTTGATTACTTCGTTTCTCCGACCTAACGAAATGTGTATGTCCGACGTGGCGACTTCGCGTCCAGCTACAAGCTACGATTTGTATAAGATAACAGTGACACTCCTCGCAAGTTTCTATTCGCATATCGAATGCATACGGATCGCATGCACTTCTCTATTTACACCACAGAACCAATTCTATAGTTCTAGCCAATTATGAGTTATTCCGTCCTCGCAATTGTCCGAGAACTTCGTCGTGTGAAGTTCTGATCGTTCGTTATCTTCCTTTCTCTCTCTATTAACTTCGATTAATTCGCATAGTCGTTCTCTTCTCATTGAGAGTTTCGTCGCTGCGACGTTCACCGCGTCTCGCCCGTTATCGAAACGTCTCAGCAACTGAGCCTCGAATTCAACACGCTCTCAAATGCTTCGCTGTTCATCAGTCGCATGCAAGAATCATCATGAAAAGGAAACACAGTAACGCGTGATACCTCGATAACGGGCTACAAATTTTGTCGTTGGACATAAAATCCTAAGAATAGTAACTATAAATTAAGCGACGAGAGAAATTTTCATTCGAGCGATATAGTCGTCGTTTAAAGGTTCTTCTCTACAACGGTCGCAATCAGTCGCAACGCTCATCGCAAAACGGTGATCGCAAAATCATCGCAACATTTGGCTCAACTTCAACCGTTGCGCCTGCGACATTTGTTTAATCAGAAGCGTCAGCAGTTGAGTCTTCACGCGCCAATAGTTGAGGACGATATAGCGTCACTTTATCATGCGTTGCGATTTATATGAGGTTTGTTTTCTATTGTTGAACCGACTACATTAGCTTGTACTAGTTCTTTTCTCCTCTAATCTTCTTCTCTCCTTTTTCCACCAAGTTTTAGCTATATATCTGTTTCTTTTTAAGTTTCGTGAATGTATATTAGTTCAACGATAAAGAACAGATCTGCGGATATGTGGATACGACGTTTCTTTTCTTGGGACTGCGACACCGACATTGCGACTGCTGTAGAAAAGCCTTAAAGTAGAATTCTTTTTTAAATAAGTTACGTCGACGAACGCACCTCAGGAAAGTTTTAACGAGTGCATGTAGCAAGATCAACGCTCATCCTGGATCCATGTTGCAGAATGGATATGGCTTTTGCGATGTACTGTCTCTGCCAAGACCTTCTTACTTGTACCACTCGAAATTCTGTATACCTTTACACATATATACTTCGAGACCACGTTGCACGCTTATCTGCCGCGAGAAGTCCTAAGGGAAAGTACAGGCTGTCTTTCAGTTCGCATCTACGCGTCGTTGCTTCGTTCGTAATCGAATATATTCGTTAGTCGCGTGTACGAGTTCGTTTCTGAGATCTTCCATTTCCACGCAATTACCGTCGATTGTTCATCGTTCGTTTCTCGATCATCTATCTTCGTCGCATAATTCGCTGCCGCTGTATTAATTCGGAAAAAAAAGAAAAAGAAGCGTATAGTTTCTGACTGCGTAACAGTAGTAATACTTGTCGATTAAAGACGCATATTTATGCGCACACCATGTATAACGCAGTGTATCGCGAAGCTGATCTCACGGAATCTCACTTTTATCTTCCCGACTGACCGCCTATTTTTAATTCATTCAACATACTGAGAGATTACACATACACATGTCAGACTCAAGATACGGCTTTGTGCTGGCGAATTATTTTTAACACCCGTCGAAGTCATCGGCAAGCGTGACTTATGACCTCTTATCTAATTCCATTTGCTTTAATTGTGCGCGTCTTCGTGTGCAATTAGCAGATTCGAAATCGTCACGAGGCAATCTTGCTCGCGACTTGTCTCGCCCTCGAGTCCGTTCACCCGAATGCAATAATTTTCTTTGGGGTTATCATAACTCCCAGGTCACGTCTTTGATACGCAATGAAATTTTGAATTGTCAACGTTTTGAATGACTTTCGCCCAAGCGGGCGAGATATCTCGTTTCGCCGGCGACGAATGCGTCGCGATAGACTTCGTGGACACTTCGCAATCCAAGATACGTCTCTGTGTGCGCATTATACATGTATAATATGTATGTTATATATTACGCCTGTTTTTTTCTCTCCTGTCTTTCTCTCCCTCTCTCTCTCTCTCTTTCTTTCTCCCGTCGGCCTTGGCTCCGATGGACCAGAAGGAAGTTTCCCGATGGACGCGGCAAGCCGAGAATGCTTCAGACCTTGACTCCGACCGCGTTCTGTACATTGACTATCGTGGGTAAGTAATTCGCCGCCGGCGACGACGCTGACGCATCCAACGTCTCCTCGTCCTCGCTCTCGGAGTCCGAGGATTCCGGCAAGGGCTGTGGCGACGCGCCGAGTCGTACCAGTTCCCGGGCGAGCTGGATGTCGTCGAAACACAGGGCCAACTGGTAGGCCGTCATGCCGGCGTATGTCTGCGCGTCCAGGCAAGGCCGGCACTCGTGCAGCATGAAGGCGACCACCGTTCGACATCCGCGTTCCACGGCGACGTGAAGGGCTGTTCTACCCGCCAGGGCCTCCCTCGACTCAAGATCAGCGCCCAGACGCAGGAGAAGGCGCACCAGGTCCACCTGTCCGTTCGCCGCGGCCACGTGTAGACACATTTCGCCTGTAATCAGAAAAAAATAACGCGATATAAGCAAATGCTGCGAAGGCAGTCGATGGTTTTGCGAGCCCGAGATGTTGCTTCATCTGACTCTCCTTCCCCTTCTCTCTCTCTCTCTCTCTCTCTCTCTCTCTCTCTCTCTCTCTCTCTCTCATCTGATTTGTATCGAATTGAATTCTAGTTTTCCGTCATCTGTCAGCGGAGAAACCTCAGCAGGGAGGTAGAACGAGTGTACGTCGGAATGATGCGCGTAGTCACATGCCTCGACGTGAGATATAGATAGAACTAGGAAGACGTGGTGAATCATTGTCGTCGGAGGTTTGGCCGGCGTCCCGCGGTCCAAACTAGGCTCGCGCCGATCAAAAGTAACTGCTAAAATTAACCGCGCCGCGTTACCAGCAATGGTAGCAGCGGGCGCATTGGCGGAATTTCGTCCGCGTCGTTGTAACGATGCGTCTGTCGAAGGTGCATCGCGTACGCGAGTCGCGCACTGTCCAATGACACGACAAATGATTTTACGTATCGAATACGCTTTCCTTGAATCTTCCGCTCCTCTATCTTCTTTCTCTCTTTGTCTCTCTTTGATTGCTCGCGTCGCGTGTTACGAGAACAGTCGAGAAGAACGGATCGATGGAGCACGGAATTCGAAAGTAACGTCACGAAGAGCGGCGATCAATCGTCAGGAAGATCGATTTTTAAGGGTGAAAGTCCGACGAAAGCCACTGACGTCGACGCCGCTGTGGGGTTTCCCGACGCGAGTCGAGGCGAGGCGAGAATATCCCGGCACGCAAATAGTTCTACCGGGTATTTTTAAGTATCAAAAACATCTGTGCTCGCTCCTCCTCGCGACGCGACGCGACGCGATGCCATGCGTCGCGTCGTGATGTAACGCACGCACCCCAGATCCAACGTTGAATGCCATCGTGTGCGTGAAATATTTTTTGCGATTATCCTTACATCTTAAGGATCCTGATTCCTCCTTTCTTCGTTGATGACATCAGAAGCGAGGAAATATATGCTCGAAACTCTTGCAAAACACGTTGAAATAAAAAGATATTTTCATAAAATTAATTAATTAAAACTCTTAATTTTGATTGAATAGATCTGTAAAGCGTCCAAAAAATTTCCTTTTGCTTCAACAAGTCAATAAGTCACTGTAAAATCAACACGACATACAATCTACCTTTTTAACTATCAGAAAAAAATGATTTTATATAATTATATACAAATTTGTCCTTATATGTATAATATGTCTTTATATATATATAATCATACACAAAAAAATAGTATAGATGGTCCACACATAAACTTGGTTGTGCCAATTGTTTTTTTCGTTTATATATCCACACAGAAAGAAATACTATCGTACAAATAAAATTAAAGTAACTGCGTATGTTTGTGGCAACCTGTGATGTCAACATTTAATTGAGTGAAACCCGTTTTCTTTTTTTTCCATACAACATTTTTTTCACATGGAGATATATAGAATTACATATGATTATATATGTGTGATATACACAGAAAAATATCCTACTGCTAAGAAAAGCGATTACTCAATTTATTTTCCTTCTTTTAAGTAATAGTTATCTTCAACAAAAGATATTTTAGTAATGTCTTAAAATATATTCGTCACAAATTTTAGAAAAGCTTATTATCTCATGTAATCAAAAAAGGAGCCTATTTTCTTCATAAGAATATTATGAAACTTTACTGAAGGAAAAACTTTATATAGTAACTAAATTTTTAACTTGATGCTTATGAGTTTATGTGTAATAGATTTACGAATATATAAATTTATGAAATATTTAAAGTAAATAATATATACTTGTAGTATGCATTTTTCTACGTATGTATATACATATGTGCGCGTGCGTTAATTTTTTTGTTCGCAGGCAATCTTTTATCATAATTTTTTTATGTTACTTTGTATGATTATTTATTGATTATTGCAGCAACAGGAAAGTGTCTGGACTATTTTACAGAGTCGTTCGAACGATTGCAAGTATCATTTTGTGAAAACATTTTTTTACTTCGACGTGTTTTACAAGAATTATGAGCGTGTATTTTTTCGCTTCTAACGTCACGAGGCAAGGTGTCTGCGGTGAGTGCCCGCAGTTCCAGATAGATTTAATATCAGGTCTCGAAAACCTGAAAATTTATTAATGTAAAATCACACGATTTACATGACGTGACTTATCGGATACACATGGCATGACGTAAAGACTCTCTTGCATATCGAATATAAAACACACGATGCTCCTCACGTGTCCAGATACTCTTCAGCGAGAGCTGTGCGCTTTCACTGTGCGACGAGGCGAACACGCGAGTATCTCGGACGAAAATCGACGTGTGCTTCGTGCACGATGCAGAATTCAAGACAAGGTTATTCTTCTCATACAGCACGCAAACTATCCAGTCAATCAAGATATGATTGTGCGTGATCTTCAACGCGACGCGGTTGAGAAATGGCTCTCCCAAAAACGACGCAACTTCGCTGGCAATTCCAGTCGATACCAACGATGACACGGATCTTCATTGCCGTTCACATATTTTCCACTACACTGAGAGAGAAATATGGTTACTTTCACCCCCAACGAAACTGTTTGGAAATTTTAACCACCAAAATAGTTAGAATAACCATCTTTCTAGTAACACTAACTATTTAAATAGTTAGAATAACCATTGTTTTAGTAAATATTATTAGAAAGATGGTTATTCTAACTATTTTTGTGGTTAAAATTACAAAAGTTACAGTTTTGCTGGTATTGCGAAAGTAATCATATTTCTCTATCAGTGTACCATCCAATATCCGTCCAATATTATCTTAAGTGTCGTTTTCTGAGCGATTATTCCATTCTAATAAGCGAAAGCCCATTCTCCGCAGGAACAACACGGACGTCGCAGCGCGATTATTTCGAATGAATCAGTCCCTTCTCGCGGCCGCGGAAGCGATACCGCGAAATTATTTCGTTACTCATCGATTCGTCGCGACGTTATCTAACGAGGGGACGAGGCGCGCGTGTTTGCAAAAACCTTGATCTCGTCAGGTCCTCGTGTCCTTCCGCGTTTTCGGTGCCGATTATTACCAATCGGTCACGATCTGGAACGGTCGGTTACGCCACAAATACGCTCCACACTACTCGCTCGTACGCGCGCGCGTTCACGTCCGTGCGTTATCCACGCCACGTCGCGAGAGCTTGCGGCGGAATACACGCCGATGACGCTATGCGGGATTTCCAAGACTTTTAAAAAGTCCGCGAACATTTTGCGACGAACGACCGCCGAAGCGATTCTCCACGTTCCACCGCAGTCTCCGTCGTCTGGAGGGAGAGAACAGGCATGCACACGTAGGGAGGGGGGGGGGGGGGGTTTAGCGCTTCCGGGCCTCCTCACTCCTCCTAATATAACAACGTGCAATTAGTATCTTATTAATAATTAAGCGAGCGAGCTCGGGAGACGTTAACATTCTGCAGCGCTTGGTTATGTGCGATCGTACGCTTCTCAGAACGATAACAAGATAAAATTGATAGGAGTTGATTGAAATTTATTTAGTGGAAATTTACCTACGATCGCAATTGTTCCTAACCCTCTGTTGCCGATATTAGTCATACGTGCCACATAGCCATAAATATCTTTTGGAAAGGCTAAAGGTACAATGATGTCAAGTCAACAGAGAAAAGAAAATGTTAGTCATTCCTGACCTACACTTCGAACAATTTAATAAAAAAGAATGCAAAATGTTTGCAACTGATATTACATTACTTTTTTTCTGTAAAAGAAATTACTAAAAATATTAAAGCGGATTAAAACTGGAAAAACAATTAAAGAAGTCGGAATGGCCTCACATTGCACACAGAAAAATACATCCTGCGTTCAAGTAAATGTTATTTGTTTCAAATATTTCATAAACTGAATATTTCATATGACCCGTAAATTTCTTATAAGTTCATTATAAGCGTCAAATTTATTCGAAATTTTGAATTCCAGTAAGTTTAACATTTCAATCAAGAATATTAAATGAAAATAAAAATCCGGTTTACTTACTATACAGAGTCAAGCCAACTTTTTCTTTGACAAAGTTTTATAATATTCGTGCAAAGAGAGTAAACTTTTTTGAGTGCATGATAATGACTTCTCTCAAATTTTTTATAAATAAATATTTTAAGGTTTTTATTAAAAGTATTTTTTGTTGAAGATGACCATTCATTCAAAAAAAGTACATTGAGTAATCGCTGTTCTTAGCGGTAGGATAATATTTATCTGTGTTTATTGCTAGCATGAGCAATTTAAAAATTTCAAATCAGAAATAATAAAATATAATAAGCAAGTTTTCGTGGCGCGCCTCTTCCCCGTTGCGTTTTGTCGAACGCGGTTGCTGCTTTTGCGAAATTGCGCGCCAGCGGGACAAAGTGAAAAAGACCCGGTAAAACCTGACGCGAGATCGGAGAGAGGGGGAGAAGAGAGGTCGACGATGGGAAAGTCTCGTGACTAAACTGCGGTCGGAGGTGCTTTCAGGAAAGCTATATTTTCCCAGAAACGTCTCTGCGGGCAAGAACGTCTGTGCACCCTTTGTGGCGCGAGGTTTACCGGAAAGTACAGAACAAAAATGTCATGACCAAAGCACGACAGAATCGATCAGTCGGCAGCTGAGTGTGAGAGCGAATATCTTCAGAAAAGCCAAAAAAAGAAAGGCAGACGCCAATCAGAACTCACACTGGTACAAAGACAGAAACTGTCGACCATCACCTGACTATCAACGCGAGTCCTGATCGGTTCCTGCATTTTTGTCTTCTGTTTTTTTTTGCCAAGGTGTGGATTCACCCCAAGAAACGAGTTTGCCGGAAAAAAAGGTTTGGTTGAATTAACCAAATATCTGGTCGAATATGAACAATCCCCAGAAATTCCGATTGAAGTAACCCGAATCCTGTTTAAGTCAACCAAAAATCTTGTTAATTTAAACAGAATTCGGGTTACTTCAATCGGAATTTCTGGATCGTTTATATTTGATCAAATATTTGGTTAATTCAACCAAATCTTTTTTTCTGTGCGAAATCGACCACACTGAGAGAAAAATATATGATATTTGGAACTATAATGGCATAGTAAAAAGATTATAGTTAGCAATATAATTTTTATAGTAAATGTTACCATAATATTTGTAATATTTACAATATTAGCATAGTATAACTGACCCGTGTAAAATTTTTACCAAGAATTATAATTATTTGAAATAAAAAATATAGTAAGGTAGCAAATATTGAATGGTAAGAGAAATTAACTATTTTATATAGTCAATACAATTGGAATATTTGGCAAATATAGGTACATGTAACTATATTCCGAAAAGGTGCTTTACCATATATATAAAGTAATAAGATGGTGACTATAAATTTGTGTTCATTCTACTATATCTTCATGTTTAGATGAACTATAAATATATGTTTGAGGCCAAAACGAACTATAATGAGATTATAGTTATTCCAACTATTTTTTTCTCTCAGTGCAGCACGTGTATCCGAAATCATAATTCAAGATTCGTATTGCTCATACAGCGGACAGGAGAGCTCTCTCGCGATCAGACGATCAGGCGAGAGAATACGAAACGCCAATGACTCGACTGTCTATCACTTGTTCCCAAATCTGGCCCGCTGCGGAAAGCCTCGATAATTACTTATCGTAATGACGCGACGCATCCCGACGTGTACCCGAAGTCGCGGTCTTATCTGCACTTATTCATGGAGTTTTTACGCGAGGTCGCGGTGTTGTGTTACGTCTTATCTGTGCGGATTTTCGTCACGGTAACGCAGGGATTCCCCGACGTGGCCACGACGTCTCGCCGACAAGTAGATCCGTATCAGTAGATCGCAATCAGGTCGCGTCATTATCAACTCTATAAATCTGAAATTGGGTAAATAGCACATTGAGAAAAAATATCTAAAAATTAACAAATTTATTTATTAGATGGGTGCCATTAACATATTTACTTAAATCAAAATTCTTTTTATTTAAACCGAGTATTGTTTATTCGGTTTGAGTAAGCAATACTTTGTTTAAGTGAAAAGAATCTTGATTTAAGGAAATATGTTAATGGTACCCACCTAATAAATATTTAATTATTAATTTTTTAATGTTTTTTTAGTGCAGGCCGCGAGATCGGAAACGGTGAGCTGTGGAATCGTTAATACGAGCCCGTCGATCCGTCATATGCGAAATCTGGTGCTCTCGAATGGCAATCGCGTTGTCACGTGACACAACGCTCTCCTTTCTTCTTCCATTAGAAAATCCATACCTTTTCTATTGTTTACATATCGTTTTCCATACCGAGCTCAAACAAATACCTAAAATCTCATTGTTTTCCTTGTCACTACACTATCAATTTCTTAAACGTATTGTCAACACAATGATATTCTTTAAGAATTCCTTAAAAATTTTACTTTTCTTTTGCTATCCTAAGAATATTTTCTTTTGATCATTTTTTGTCAAAATGATCGATTTCCCGAAGGAACTATATATCTTTCCGCGGCAACGATATATTTAAGAACACTCGAGAGCTCAGTTCCTCGTTAGTTCCTGTCCTGTTCTGATTTAGTCCCGAAGCTGTCGGTAGTTTTTAGTTCTAGTATATCTTTGCAGAACCTTGAATAAGACTCTTCCCGTACAAAAGTGTCACAGCTTATTTTAAAACCTGGATCTCAGTGTCCGTCACGTATGTAAATCATCGTTGTCTTCTCGCCTCCTCGTCCTCCACGTGCCCGCACCCGAGCTCGCGATCAAACGACGGATCCGCGGGATATCTGTCGATCGTAACGGTCGTAAAACTCTCCAATGCTGGGCGAATTCGAGTTATCTCGCAACTAAATTAACATATCCTCTTTTTTCTCTCACGATCATCGAGAAGGAATATATTCTCGACGGGACGATGGGGACTAACGCGCGCGAGCGCAGAAAAACATGTGATTCTCGATGAAATCATAGGAAACCCGTATAGGCTCCACGTGTTCATGGCCGCGGCGTATCATCATCCGCGCGGCGCGAGCCTCGCACATGACTTGTTCTATACGCGGTAAAAGCAGTTAGGATTTCCCGCCACCTCGGCCGCCTCGCTCGTCCTTTGTGTTCGCTGTCACGGACACGCGGATCGTCTTTCCTCGCGTTAGCGGCAGTTAGGTGTCGCAAACTTCCAAATAATTAGCCGTGACCGCAAGGAAAAATCGCGCAGAACTCAAGTGCTCGCGTGGGCGTAATTTTCTTTTGAAATCTGCTACTCTCGAAGCCTCGAAACTCCGATACGAACACGGAGAAATCACTAAAGATATTACTTGCCTATGTATAGTTGTCGTAACAAAATATTAATATTATTTTTTGCTTATGTATACAAGATGATTGTAGTAATTATATTACTTATATTACTTTACTATATTACTATATTACTTAAGTGACACACTAGCCTTCTTTACTACTTATCCATATGAGTTTGAGCAGTACTCTAAGGGCCGGTTTTCAATAGCAGTTTAAACTTGAATTCAAGTTTAAACTCTATTGAGTTTAAACTCACTTATGCCCGTTTCTATTTTGGTTAATTTAACCGGCTGATTATTCCGGAACGGAACTGACCAATCGCATCTATCAAGTCTGACTAAGGAAAAATATGATTGATCAATTCCATTGGAATAACCAACCGGTTAAGTTAACCAAAGTTGGTAGAAACAGCATTAGTGAGTTTAAACTCACTTGAACTCTATTCTAACAATGCGTTTGTTTTGTTTAAACAAAGTTGAAATCTAAGTTTAAACTATCATTGAAAAACCGGCCCTAAGTGTTGTAAAGTGCAACCAAACTCTATGGATCCTTCAACTATAGTATTTGTTCCACAGATCACTACAGAGAGACAGCAATATTCCTTTGGCTGTGGCAACTATGTATATGAAGATGTACTAACTGAACATTACATACAACTTTTAATGCTATATCTCTTTAATTTAAAATCACATATATTCTTTTAACCATAGAATGTAGCAACCATATTAGTTTTCTCTATGAAATATTCGAAGATCCAAGTTTCAGTTTTCGAACTTTGAAGACCTACGAATTTGTTATGGAAACGGGAAAAATGCACGAGATATAGAGCAGACCGAGACAATATCACGTACACGAAGTATGGTTTGGGGGTGGTACAACCCCAAACTTCATCTAGAAAATAAGGAAAGTTGGGCTGCACTATCTGCAACACTTTATCTCGGTCTCTTTTATTTCAATTATTCTTTAAGCGTCATCAAATACTCGTCTGAGAGACGGGGAATCTTTCCTATTCTTGCAGTCGCACCCATACCCGGATATACCACTGGCCAAAAGTTTGGAATTCTTATAAATAAACTAAGCAATAGACAGATTTTGTGAGAGAAACAGTTTTAATACTTCTTGTTCTTCCTAAAAATTACAGTTCACAGTCTAAGCAACACCAAAAAATACCAAAAGATCTACTTTTATAAAAAATCAGTAGGTGATTCCAAATCTTTGGTCGGCAGTGTTTTTTCTTGAGCGCAGGCTTGGAAACAAACGCCCCGCATGCTTCGAAGGTTCGACGAGTGATACCTTCGAAGATTAGTTTTCGAAGTTTGGGAAGAGTTGACTTCAAAGTTGTCGAACAGAAACAGCTCTAGCGCGAGATCACCACAGGATCATACATAGCGCTTCTTTGCCGATATTCGTAGAACGAATTTCCGGCCGCTGGAGCCGGTACTTAGTGAGCACTCACCGCTGTAATTACGTTGCTCCAGGTTTTGGGGTAAGGCTGGCACTTTCTGGCCAGGCATCAGCTCGTTCCTCTCCATCGGGGACAATGGGTCCGTGAGCGCCTTGGCGCAAGCGAGGTCGCCGCTGGCGCAGGCGATATGAAGGGCCGTGTTGCCGCGGAAATTCCTCATGGATGGATCTGCGCCGGCCAGGATCAGGCGTCGCACGATCGTCGGCTGATGCGTGAGCACCGCCAAGTGCAGCGGCGATTGGCAGTCGTCGTTCAAGGTGTTCAATAGACAGGGGTGCGGTGCCATCTTGATCAGGCTGAAGGTCGCCTCCACGAAGCCCTGGACGATTGCGATGTGCAATTGCCTACGGAATAAACAACTGTGTTATGCAAGAACCGGTGAAGAAGTGAACTCGCTGCGCTCTTATCAGTTTGCACTGAGAGAAAAGTGTTTAGTATTTGAAATATAATCGCTTAGTGAAAAATAGTCGGGAGAACTATTCTATTTTTGCTGTCAAGTGTTGCTATAACAGTTTTGCTGTCTGAGAAAAAATATCTGAAAAATGGGAGATATTTATTCGACGGCTACTGATATAATTGATAATTTATTTATATTAATATACGTATTTTTAAATTGAGGAAGTTTCTTCAAATGAGTAAAATATACACACATTTTCTTTTATTTTAAGTTTAGGAAGTTTCTTCAAATGAGGAAATTACATTTTCTTCAAACTATAGCTTTTCATGAAAGCAATTATTTATTTTATTCAAAAAAATAAAAAAAGAAAATTTAGATTTAAATAAATATGTTATTAATATCCATCGAGAACAATTATATTACATACAATTTGATTAATAATGATAATAAATAATTGATTTAATTAATAAAATATGAAATAAGAAATTTTCACTTCTTAGATTTTTTCTATCTCAATGCATATTGCAGTTACTATCTTTTATTAGACAATAATAAGATATAGTTGGTGCAGAAAATAATTATAATTTTAATGACAGTAATCGACTTTTTCTCTCAATGAATCAAACCCGTCGCTCGGGTCAGTCCTTGTTACAAATTAGTATTCGAATTGGTAAATTTAATATATAACAATAACAACTGGAGAGATCAGTCTTTCGCTTCGAGTGCTAAACCAATAGTTTTTCGAAGCTATATTCGATATTACGGAGCGAGAATGCCAATGTTGCAGTTATTAATAGATAAGCGACGTTGTTCACCCATTGACCTTCTTTCTTGATATCGTTATAGAAGTGTCGTTTTCGTTTGGCTTGTATTTACAAGTAAAATCAGATCACGCAATCGTCATGCCATATCGTGTCACATGTGAAAACGTAGTTCAATTTTTCGTCATTTTAATTTTTTTTGTTGTCGAGTCACGTAAAAAACGAATGATGATTCTTTGTTACGTAATTTTGGATAATTACCCACGGCAGAGATAAACAAATTCTCGAGTCGCATTTTTTTCCCGGACAGGATCTAATGTTTCGTCATTGAATATCGCATCCTACATTTTATTGAACCAACTTCTCGTGATACGAGATATAAAAAATCGAGCTTTAGTGCGAAATCATCGTGTATGAAGAAGAGTATGAATCTGAACTAAGTTAGATAGCATGCAAATGTGTGGATGTTCAATTAACGCGGTGTGTGAGTTTGGAATTTGATTTATTGATTTTAGTATATTGAATTAAGTATGGATGAAAGGGGAAGGTCAGATAGGGGAAATTATATAGGAATGAGTAGATAATGTGTAAGTGAAGGTAAAACAAGGCGTTAAATAGGAAAACAGGATTCAAGACGGGAAGAATGCATAGGTAATAAAAGTTATGGCGTCATAAGGAACGGGTAGTTAGGATAGTGTAGATAATACAGGCAAGCTTAAATTAGTACAATAATGTAAAGAGAACTGATAAAGAAAATTTAAAATTATATGAAGGAAATTTATAATAGAAGATAGAAGTACACAAAGGATGCAAGGAAGAAAAGGATATAAGAAACAAAGGAGAAAGGCTTTGTTATCGGATGGGATATGGGAGCAAAATAAAAGTATGCGGAAGAAGGATGACATAATGATTAGTGGGATAGATACTGTGTAAGTAAGAATATTGAAGTGTAGAAAGTAAGAGGAAGGTTATAGTATATGAAAAACTCCTTCTTGACGATGTGAGGAGACATATAGGAAGTGAAGAAAAAGGTAATCACTTTATGGAGCTAGTAAGAAGTATATAGAGTGAAGTAATGAAATTAACAAGATATGGAAGAAAATTGAAGGACAAAAGGATGAAGAGGAAGTAAGGAGAGCAATGAAGAGATCGGCTAGAAAGAAGAAAGATAAAGGGATAAGTGTGTACAGCTACAGGAAAGGAAAGAGTTTGGAGTATTACGTATGAGAATATGGTACTCGTTGAGTGAAATAGGAAAGTTGTAATTAAACATAGTAGATAAGAAGAAGATGTAGGTAATGTAAAGATTAAATGAAAATTAAGAAGATTGTAGAAGAGATTAAAAGGGTGATAAGGTAATGAAATAATGATATTGCAAAGATAATTGAAGAGAAGCAATGTAACTATAGGGATGTTAATAATTAGATAAGTAGAAATAAGGAATGGATTGATGCGTGTGGTTAAGGAATATAATTGTAAATCGAGGAGTCCCCTGCTTGGCTATGTAAGCTGAAGGAAAATACATTGATACTGAAGAATACTGAAGAACACGAATCTCTGCAAGGCACGCGTTCTGATTTCCGTGTCTCTTTAACACTTGATTTATGCAAGAAAGTTCAAAGCAAGACGATATGAAATATTCATCATTATCGAGTGTTCCGATTTCTCGTTTCAAGCTCACTTCGTCCGAAGTTTCCTGCATTATCGCGGTGAAATTTTCCTTTGCATCGTGACGCGAGTGAACGACACGTCTCCCTCGTGAAATTCCAACGCGCGTCATTGTGTACAATTTACCGTTTTTGTTCCGCTGAATCCACCAAAGGCGATCCTTATCAAGGATGAAACTCGTTTCATTGAACCGGTCAACGAGCTCCGCTAAGCGCCACACGCTCGGAACGCGTGTATGTGTGCATGTATTATAACCCACGCTATTTAAGCGAACATCAACGTCGACGTGACGCATAACGATATTCGCTTGAATCAACGTACTTGTGTCGCGCTCGTGAAGAAAAAAAGAGGAAGAAAAAAAAGGTGCTACTCGCGATAATGAGACGAGATTAGAGATGACTATTCGAGCCCAGTTTTGCATTCGTCGATGCGGAGACATTTTGCACGGCAAATTCCCAAGATTTCAAGAGGCGAATCAATTTGCACGAAACCTCGCAGAATCAAAACCTGCACGTTTTGCCGCCGTAACGAAACGAGAAGACACTTTCGTCGAAGAAGTCTCGCGTGCGATTCCGTCGCATTTCCGACTGTCCCTTCCAGCTTTAAAAACGAGCGTTCAAAGCATTTCAGCGCCGCTGAGTACGGACTTGTACGATGTCTCTGGATATTGTCTCGAAGGATTGCATATTCGTGGCATTTTGGGGTCTCGATCAGCTGACATTCGTTCGCCGACGATCTCGCGAGGAGAATTTCCATCTCTTTCTCCGACGTCACAAGCGAGAATTACAGTCCACTCCTAATTAAATACATCGCGTGGTATTCCCGATGAGGATCGCGCGCAATTAGCAGCCGCGTGTGTATACGCTGTACGGCCGACATTCCGACCCTGGACCCGTTGACCGCGTGATCGCGAGAGTGTTGCCAACGAGACGCCGCTATCGTCACGACCGCGTTAACACGAGTTAACGGATTGTCGACTTATTCTAACGGCCTATCCTGCAGCTTCCTAACAATGACACCTGTGTCATGTCGCGTCGGGCAGATATATCGTATTGACGCACCGGGTGTCCCACAATTTGCGATCTGAATCTTAAGCGATAGCTTCACTCTAGAAAGGTGCACTCTAAACTTCTTCGGGTGAGACTTCGCTCTAAAGTAGTGAAAATTATGCCAGTCGAAGTTAGAGCAAGAACTTCACTCCAAACGAATGAAAAGATTGCTCGCTTGGAATGAGTTCTCACTCGTTTGTAGTGAAATTCTCGCTCCAACTTCGACTGGCGCAATTTTCACTACCAGAGCTGCGTTCCAAAACTCTACTCGACGAGTAGAGTAGCATTTAATTGACCAATAAGAACAAAGATAACTAGGATTTCTTTATCATGATTGGTCAATTAAATGTACTCTACCCACCGAGTTGAATTTTGGAACGCAGCTCTTGGAGTGAAGTCTCACTCCAAGAAATTTAGAGCGTAGCGAATAAGCAACTCACTCATATTGAAAAGCCTTCAATCTAGAAAAGTAGCGATAACCTATGACATCATTCAGATAAGAGTAATTCGTGCAAATAATATTTCACCGCAAAGAAGCAGTATTTATTTTAGTGGGTGATAACGTAAGTACCAGAGTTTAATAAAGTTTTTTGTTTTAGGACGTCCGAAACAATAGGATGTATTGAGGAATTTTTTTCTAGAGAAACTCTGCAACGTATTGGCTTATAACTTGGCACATTTGTTATATAAATATTAAGAAGTTTTAAAAATATTATAGAGCTGTTTAGGAAAAAAAAAAAATTTCATATTTAAAATTTTGAATATATATTTTTTCCAAATCCGTGTTTTCAACATTGGCGTGCAAGATTACTTGATTAATTAAAAATTTTTCACGTCATTAATGAATATATATCGAGAGCATACACTTCAGGTGTATTTCCTGAAATTGTAATATTTAACATTTTTCCGTTATGTGTAAAATTATTTTTTCCAGTGAGAAAAACATGACTTTCGCTTTACGCCGACATCATTCTGTTAGTTTCCAATCGTAAAATCCGAGACATATGCCCTCAATATACATGCATTAAAGATATATGGAAAGTTTGAGGTCAATCATGTTAACGTAGTTCATAAAGTCAGTTCATTAAGTCAATGCGTTTTTCTCGATATCATGATTTCAATATCGAGAAAAATTTAAGATTTAAAATTTTAGGTACGATATTTTCGATATTTTATATTTTTAATATTTATTATATTTTTAATATTTTCTTATACTTTTGTATAATAAATGTAAGGTAAATGTCCCTATTTGCGACCATGACCCTATTTGTGACCATTCACGGATTTTTATTAAATTAATTAGTTTTAAGAAAGTTTTAAGTAATTCATCTTCGAAAAGAATAGGCGGTCATTAATAGGGCCAAATTTCAATCAGGCGGTCACTAATACGTGCATTTACATACTTTGCAATTTCTCTTTTGATATTTATCAGATTTATATTTAAAACCTGAGTAAAACATATTTTTCGATACAAAAATGATTAATCTTGAATTCTGTATAATCGTTTTTTGATTTTCATCATATTTGGCGATTAGTGGACCACGGTTTGATATATGATTTCAGTGATATTTAACTAATAAATACTCATGAAAATGTGAAATAAGGCGCTCGTGTCGCTATCAGTGACAGATCGAGTGCATGTTTGTCGTCACGTTAGTAGATGTGGCGTTTGTCACGGTGCAATCACAGTTTTATTACGTCGTTGAAAGTAAATATTGAAGAATAATTTTGTGCAAAAGTTTCAACGAATGATTAATAAGTATTGTGTTATGTGTATATTCTGAAAAAGGTTGGTAGTTTTGAGTATATAAGCGAACGTTACAAATACGTATAGGAAAACACGCATGTCTCCATTAGTGACCGCCTCAAGAAAACTAGAGATAACAGCAAATTTCACTGCTTTCTTAAAAAAAAGCACAATTAATCTATCTCCATACGTTTCTAGACGGGTGTGAGTTACATTTGTACGAGTAAACGGAAAAATATTCGATGCAAACTCGAGGGAAAACCAGCGACAATGCTATTACTTTAGGTTAGGTCACTAACTGGGCCACTAATCGTGTTTTGTACTGATTTGTGTCTATGGCTTCAAATTACTTATTTGTTCAATTATTGAGCGATTTCTTTATCAAATATAATACAATATTTTATTCTAATGAGGTTACTTGACCATTCATGGCTAAATAGAAAATAATAGAAAACAATGTTCATCGAATCTGATCAGGTTGGAGTAGTCAGCTTCTTCTTTTTTCAAGATTTAATCAAATTAAGCCTTAACAAAGTATCAATTAGATAGTTGTAAGCCATACTGATTTGATTCTAAGGGATGAAAATTGACTTAATCCCGTGTTGTCTATCTAATTTGATTTTGAAAGGAATTTATCTTTCAGTTCGTATTTTAAATTTTAAGGAGGCCATTCCAGTATTCCAAATACCAAAGACTCTAATTCTACGGATCAAATTATTGACATTCTTGTCATTAGTGACTCAAATCAGAGTCTTGACCCTAACAGTCAAACTTCAACTCAAAGTGAAACTTGTGCCTTAAACTCTCGATGTTGCATTCGATCGAATAAATAATTCAATGTATCAAGGCATGGAAGGACAGAAAAACATTTTACCGCTACAGAATTCTGCAGATAATTCGACGGACGAATCACTCTTTCAAGAGTATCCCAATCTTCAACATGCAGATGAATCGATTGACGCCAAAGCAAATGAGGACCCAAATAATCTTTCACAGATCATAGTGGAAAACGAAATGATCCCTATAAGACCCTCACAACCCAATACTGATGAGGATACAACAATGAACGAGTAAATTTTACACATTTTTCAGCACAATTATTTTCAATTGTTAAATTCAATCGATACAATAAAATCGTTCTACTTTTTCAGAACATCCGATGTTAATATCAATGCCACTATGTGCAACTTAGATACGTAACCAGTTTCAATGTCTACTATCGTCAATGACAATGGTAGATACAAATACATGTTAAGTGATATTTCATTAAAAAATTGAATATGATTTGTCTAATCTCTATTATCTCTCAGATAGCTTGGACATTCCTTCTGATATCCCAGATGTTTGCAAAAAGACTATATTTTGGCCCCGTAAAAACGATTTAACAGTGAAAAAACGTGCTCTAAAAGTCAAAGTGCCTTCAGTTGCCACTTCGTTGGTCTGGCAAAAATATCACCGAGCGAAAGAAACGGAGAAAAGTTTACGTTTAATTGGGATCAAAAACAGAAAAAGAAAACGTCAAGAAACGGTAGAGAAAAAAAAGCAAGCAATAGAGGAGAAGAAAAGACAAAAATCGTTGCAACAAGCCGAAAAAGCCATCCAAAAAAATAATAAATCAAGCAGGAGAAATAGACGTGGGAAATAACATGCATAATATTTTATTTCATAAGAAATAAAACATGATTTCTGTGATATTCTATTTAAGATTACTACAAATGAAAGATAATTTCTTGTTCTTTATTTATGAATATTACAAATAAAATATTTATATGAAAATATAGCTTAATAATTCTTTTTATTATTGATGTTACATTCTTCTCTAATTTCAGTTTCTAAGTAACAAGAAAATTAATCTGCCGGTCGCTAAATCGTACATTCGATGTGATGCGCATCGGTCACTAACCGGGATAGACGGCGGTCATTAATAGGGCCAAATTTCAATCAGGCGGTCACTAATACGTGCATTTACATACTTTGCAATTTCTCTTTTGATATTTATCAGATTTATATTTAAAACCTGAGTAAAACATATTTTTCGATACAAAAATGATTAATCTTGAATTCTGTATAATCGTTTTTTGATTTTAATCACTCTACAATACTTTTCTTTCTTATTAACTCATGCGATTATCTTACATGGTCACAAATAGGGACATTTACCTTATACAGTTATAAATCGATATTTTGCTGAGTTTTTCTAGGAAAAATTCCTGAATGTAGCCTAATTTTTTTTTATGTCTGAAGATAAGAAACTAATACTAGAATGTTTAATGAAATTTTGATTCCTTTAAGATCCTCTTTTTAGCGCTATTTCTGTTTCTCGTGATTTAGAGAAAAAATTTCTCGCAACTTTTAATTATTTTTAAAGTAAAACGCGTTGAGAGAGTAACGGAAGAGATCGATGATATTGTAATGAATTATTTTATTACTCAAAGACAGTTATTTTGATTCTTTATTTAATTGCCAGTGTTATAATGACAATATACAGACTATTATTTAAATAGTTTTAGTTTTTTAACTTCGATTAAGTTCATATTTTATATTCTGTGTCCATTTACCAGTTCTTTGTATACGGAGAAAATATTGTAGGGAAACCATCAAATTTTTGTAATCTTGGGCGATAAAGAATTATGACTGAAATTATTATACATTTGTTTGAAAAAATTATGCACGTTTAATTTTTTACTATAAAATTATTGTAATTACTTGAATGTTTTTTATATCGTATATTAGCTAGAATGTCAAATTCACTATTTTTATAGTAATTTATATTACAATTTTAGTACAGTTCAGAATTTCATAAAAAAGCATTATAAAAAAATATAATTTTAACTTAATTTTTAATAATATTTTCTCCACGTATTAATTATAGAGGGAAGATAATAATTAAATAATAAATAAACAATAATTATGATGCATTTTGCACTGTAGGGAATTAAAAGTTTGGAGAAATTATGAAAATTATTGTGATTTGTTTACAAGACATAAAATATATCCATATATGTCCGTATTTTGTAAATTATGTTCTTGGCATCAAGTCATTTATTGATATGAAAGTGATAAAGAAGGGGTGGATAGAGAGTTTTTAAATATCAAAATCGTAAGATGCCCAAGTGACTCTTTCTGACATATAAAGAAGTCGTTTTCAGACGTTCCAACTTTAAGATCTTCCAGTATGAATAAAAGTTATACCATTTACCTAGGATTAAGATGGCAATTTTCTAGCAACTTCCAAGACTCGAGAGAATCAAAGTTTAGGACGGGAGATTTTTGCATAAAGCATAAAGAAATAAATCAGATTTCTATCCTCCAGATACAAATAAAGAGCTCTGATTAGTTTATTCCTTACTTATACTTTATACAAAAGATTCCTGCCCTTAAACTGGATCTGCAATGTGTTTTTTTGCTTCCTATTTCTTTCTCTTCATCTCTTTCTTTCTGACTTGAGTCAGAAAACCTTAAGTCTAATTGGTTTCCTATAATAAGCCATTAACCATAAGCAAATTGACCAACCACAGTCGATTATTTTCAAAAATAATTGTAGAAGGCCCAGAAAAAGATAGGGAACCAGAAACAGGAAGCAAAGAGTACATTGCAGGTTAATTAAGTTTTAGAGTTGAGAATTAGAGCACGTGTAGGAGCACTCACGTGTCCCCGTCGTCATCCTGCGTGTAGTAGAGCTGCCAGGGCTCTTCGTTGCTGGTCGCGCGTTGTTCCTGCGCGACGATGACGTTGTCGTTGCCGTAGCTGCGGTCTCGCAGTTGCTGCTGCTGCGGTGGCTCGACGTCAACGTCGCTGCGGATGTCATAGTCCGAGGACGGGTCTGGCCGCACCGGGACCAACTCGATGTTCGGCTCGAGGTTCGATTTCGCCGGAAGTGCGCCGCGGCCAGCGCGGCTGCCAGTCAACGAGTTTAAGGCGACCTGCTTGAGGGAGAGCTGGCTGAGGCTCTCGCTGAGGCCGAGGTCGACGACGAGGCCGCTATCGACCCTCATTGGCTCCGCTATCGTAGTCGCGGCCGAAGACGACGACGAAGACACCGTCGCCGGCGTTGTTGCACTTGCTCGCCGCTGCTGCTCTCTCTTCTCGATCTCTCCCCTCGGCCTGTCCTCCGGCCCCTCCCCCTCGCGACTGTCCAGTGACGGCAGCTGCAGCCCCGAGTCGCAGATTTCGCCGCTGGTCTGCAGATTGCCGCTCGACAAGAACCCGGAGTCGACGTTGATGCTGTTGGCCGTCGTCGTCGACTTGTCGTTGCCGTTGCCGTCGCGTTGCCACCGCTTCTCGTCCTCCCTAGTCGTCGACACCGGAACGTACTCTTCCTCCATTTGCTGAGTGCTCCGTTTCGAGGGATGCCACATTTTTTTCCGCCGAGTGCCCGATGATGATGATGATGATGATGATGTCGCTCTACTGTTCTTTCTTTCGCGCGGCCAGATCACCCGTCGCGACGCCCAGCGTCGCAGCAGTGACGAAACGACGCGAGCGTTTCGGTGCTGTCACTGTGTTATGCACAGCGCGACGTAACGCTCGAAAATACGATCTAAATTGATGTCCAGGAAGCTCTGCGTATACACGCGCCGACAATTTACTCTTCTCTCTCTTTCTTCTTCTCTATCTCGTCCACTACTTCCGATCACACGTTTGATTTGTCTCACGTCGCGTTACTCCGGCAGTTTCACGCACGTTCATCGATTGTCAAGATACTCGGCCAGTGGCTCTCCGTTACGCGTGTGATCGCGACGTATCCTCGATCGCGTTCGCCGTTCCCAGTGACTACGGGGAAGGAACCCGCGCTCGGTCGACTGTCTGGGTGCACACAGTCGGGTCGTCTGACTCCGACGTTTTTTCCCGTCCGTTCGTTCGCTCGCTCGCTCGCTTTAACGACGCGTATATCCGGCGGCCGTCAGTCTGTCCATTCGTGTGATTCCCTTCTTTCTCCGCCGCGGAACAGCTGTGTGGTCGACTCTCTACTCGCCTATCTATCTCCGCTGTCTCTCTCTTCGCCGCTCCGTGTTCCTCGCATGTCTCGCCCGCGAGCCGTTTCTCTCCCACTGCTCGTTCCGCTCGTTCACTGCACTGCACGAGGATCACTCCTTCGGTGATCGGCTCGACTGTGATGAGCGAACGTGATGGGAAACACACGACGGAAGATGGCTTCGTTTCGTGACAACGTTCGCAATGACGTTCGCGGCTCGTGGTGTTTTTATGCGCGCCGCGTTAATGGCATGCGCGAACGAACCTGCCGCTTGCGTTTCTCGGGACGAACTGAAGCGAGCGGCGAGCGGCGGCAGCGACGATGGCGGAGGGCGCGCCGCCGTGCGCCTGCGCAGGCGGGATTTCTGACGGCGGCTCGCACGAGCGCGATCACGCACGCATACACACGGCGGCGCGAGAGCGCGGCCAGGCAAAAGTGGGAAAACCCATCGACCTCGGGCAGGGCCAGCTAACTACGTACAACTACATACAACATAGCTGTACGACTGCATACGGCCGTGGTTGATATACGACGACGACACACGGCGACGCGACGCGTTGCACAGATAAGGCGCGATTTCGAGGTCGCGAAGGAAACCTCCTGTTCGGCCGACCGCGAGTTCTTCGATCTCGCGTCGTTCGGCGGGTTATGTGCATGATTGAAGGATTAATAAGATACTTGAAGAAATCAGATATGACCGAACGTTCAAACACTCAATGGAAACGTTCGATAGTGGAAATGTATGCTGCGCTATATATTCTTTCTTCCTCTGTTTGCCAGTGTATTTTATTTTCAACGGAACTTCACCACGCATGAACGAGCTATGATGGAAAACAGCACGATGGGACATGCCATTAGAGACGCAAAAAAAAGAACGCGAAGAAAAATTCCGTTTTCCTTCGTTTATCACAAAGCCTACAAGAAGAAAATATTGTAGCAAATATTACATCTCATTTTACAATGTTCCTGTAAAGCTGGATTATACTGACATATATATTGCAGTGTACATTGCTATAGAAATAGTAAAAATGTTATACAGTTTGCCGAATATATGATATAAAAAGAATATTCAATTGATTTTTTTAGTAAAAGGTCAGAAGGGCGTCTAACGTTTTTAAACAAATATACACTAATTTCGGTTATAATTTCTGTATGATCCAAGATTAAATATTTTTATTGTAATTTTCGTTAAAATATTTTTAAACAAATATACAATACGTTTTTAAACAAATGTACAATAATTTTGGTTATAATTTCTGTATGATCCAAGATTAAATACTTTTATTGTAATTTTCGTTAAAATATTTTTAAACAAATATACAATAATTTCGGTTATAATTTCTGTATGATCCAAGATTAAATAATTTTATTGTAATTTTCGTTAAAATATTTTTAAACAAATATACAATACGTTTTTAAACAAATATACAATAATTTCGGTTATAATTTCTGTATGATTCAAGATTAAATAATTTTATTGTAATTTTCGTTAAAATATTTTTTTCGTGCATATAATGAGTTATGTCCGTATTAGACTACCGATTGAGGGTTGCAATTAAACCATGTAACAGAACTAAGATTTGGATTACCTGATTGTAACCCTCATAATAATAGTCAATCTGTTTTAGACAGAGTTACTCCGAGCTTTCGCGAACTTTCATTGGAAAGGCTTGCGTCCCGATGTGAAATCCCCGCGACATTTTTTTCTGAAGAGGGATACACGCGCAGGAAATAGCGTAAGCTTCACCGGAATGTCACTAATATATAAGCTCTTGCGTAACAGTATTTTCCACGCGGGAATATGTCATTGTCGGTCTTTCTTTCATAGTAATTTCGCGCGAGTAAGCGCTGCTATCGCGTTGTCCCGATTACGTAGCACGATAGACAGATGCTTGCGTGCGTGCGTGCGTGCGTGCGTGCGTGCGTGCGTGCGTGCGTGCGTGCGCGTGCACACATGTGAGGATCTTATCGGCAAGTATAATTGCCGCAGGGAAGTATCACTTAATGACGGAATTTTTTTAAATGCTTATTTAAAGCGTCGCAAGCATACACAGTGTCCCAAATCTATCGAATTGACTTTCATCCGCATTCCCAAAAATATTCCTCATTTCGCGTCGCTTGTGACTTGAAAGCTACTTGCTGCTTGAAGTGTATCTCTTGGAAGAAGACACTTGGTCTGTTATTCAATATCGTGAGATGCTTTTCTTCACTATCTTGATTCTTGAGTCATTTTCTTTTTTTTATTTAGCTTGACGATCGCGGCGATATCGGCACCGTTATCTGCTCGCGGTCGATTTGTGAAATCCCCAAGTTGTACAAGAGTTGTCCAGTGAGGACCGCAAGCCAGATAGCATTCGGGTCGTATTTCACAAAGCTTATCATTTTAGATAGTTGCTGGAGATAAACGAGAAATTCTGTTTGGAGATGGGGAAATTACAGACGCGCCTTCGTCACGTAGGACACTCGGCGTTAGTGGCCGTCTATTATATATGGAGTAAGCTTGGCGTGAATTGGAGTAAGAAACAAGAATAATTTATCTCTTTTATGCCTATACTCTGGCTCCTTTACACCGGAAATATTTCTTTTAATCTTTTTCAAGAGAAATACTTTCGGTGAAAAGGAGTTAGAGTATAGGTATAAGCGAAATAAATGATTTTTATCTCTTACTCAAACTTACCCCTGTGATGGAAATATTTTACTGAAATTTAAAGATATAAGAAGGACAAAGGAGTCAAAGTGCTGATATTATGCGCTAGAATTTAATAACAAAAAATCAATTACAATATGAAACATTTCGACCGTAATATGCGGTCCTTTTCAGTCAACGCAAAGGAATGTTCGCCGAGAAGTTCTATAGTGTATCAATATGTAAAATTATGTTGGCTGTTGTCACAATTTTAACGTCTCTATGTTCGTCAGTCGGTAGATTAATTAAAATTCATTAAAATTCGGTAAAAATCGTAAAATTTTTTTATTGTTATATAACAATAAAATTAATTTTCTGAATTTTAAAAAATCTTAAAAAAATTTTTTCTGAATTTTAATAAATTTTAATTAATCTTAAAGAATTCTAATGAATTTTAATGAAATTGAATTGTGGAATCTTAAAGAATTCTAATGAATTTTAATGAATTGAATTGGTGTCAATTGAGAGAGATTTTCAGTAAATACTTCAATAAAATATTTCCATCAGAGACGCCAAGCTCACTCCGTATATAATATAAATGGTTACTTATAGTTTTCTCCTTTCATGATATTTCCTACGTGGCAGATTCTGGACGCTTCTGCACACGCTGCACGTGAAGATATGCTTCAATGTTCGTCGCTCTCATGGCTGCACAGTGGTCGGATTACTTTCTTCATGCTCCGTTGGCAAGTACGACGAACTCACCGGAAATTCCAGACGGCATTTCCTATCGGCCAAGGCACCGGCAGTATCACGATAGTTTATCATGTGTACCGGGAGAATCGATCACCGAATGTCTGCGACCTCGATATGTTTCACAAAGAACTCTCTCCGCACGGACAGAAACTCCATGTGGGTTTTCCCGTCGCGATTGAGGTCGCGCCGCCGGTAAGACAATAAAGTAAACGCTCTCTTCGTTTAGTCTCGCGATCCACCGACACATGTAAACACGCGCTCTCTTCCTCATTCGGGAATTCTCAATGTGTCTCTTCGACTCTTCTTACATTTTGTCGGCGCATGTTGTCCAGTGATTTCAACGAAGACACATTGGTTTTTTCCGGTCTAGTTACTTCGAGGCATACGTTTGCTATATGTCACGTCGCTGGAATTTCTCACGTTTTCTGAACGCGCATATATTATATTGAACATTTACGAGAGATGTATAATGCCGTGGCACATTTCAGAAGCATGAACACAATTTTTTTATTAACTAATTGTTGAAAAATAAGATGAAACTCTCTTTCATTAAATCTCTCTCTCTCTCTCTCTCTCTCTCTCTCTCTCTCTCTCTCTCTCTCTC